AAAAAAAAAAAAAAAAAAAAAAAGCTGAAAGGGTACAGAAATATAAACCAAGGAAGACAACGGGTCTCCATTAAATTTCAGGGAGCAACTCTATTCGTCGAGAATCGAGAGCAAAGGAGTCAAATGTGGGGATAGCAAAGTACAATAGTGTAACAACCCAAGCCTATTGCTAACGGATATTGTCCGCTTTAGCCCATTACGTAACGCCGTCAACCTCACAATTTTAAAAGGCGTTTATTAGGGAGAGGTTTTCACACATTTATAAGGAATGCTTCGTTCCTCTCTCCAACCAATGTGGGATCTCACGATCCACCCCCTTGGAGGCCAGCATCCTCCATGGCACACAACTCAGTGTCCGACTCTGATACCATTTCTAACCGCCCAAGCCCACCACTAGCAGATATTTTCCACTTTAGCCCTTTATGTGTCGCCGTCAGCCTCACAGTTTTAAAACGCGCCTAATAGGGAGAGGTTTCCACACCCTTATAAAGAATGTTTTGTTCTCCTCTTCGATCGAGGTGGGATCTCACAAATATACAAGTTCTTAACAAACAGCCTCTTCTTAGAATTGATCTGGATAGATATGCTATGCATCAAAACCATATAGATGCAGGGAACTAGAATGATATATGGAATACACCCTTCCAAATTCAAGAAAAAAGTCACTTTGTTTGAGCTTCATCCATGTTCAAGATGGCAATGTGCCAACCAAAAGATGATCCAGCAAGTCACGAATTCAATAAGATAATTAGCCTTGATCCAATAACAAAAACCGAGGACGAATCCGAACAAAGGACTTTTCATCCGAGCTCAAACGAGGAAGCAGATTGCACAGAGAAAAAAGATATAAATATATCATGAAACACATGATCCGGAAACTACTTTCGAATATTGACACTTTCTCTTGCCAAAAAATAAAGAAATCGCCGACTGCATCGAAAATTTCTGATGAAATTAAAGAATTCTAGAATTCATGAACGACACAATCTAATCATCAATCGGGATACCAAATTAACTATCTTCAAAAAAAAAAAAAAAAAAAAAAAAAAAAAAAAAAAAAAAAAAAAAAAAAAAAAAAAAAAAAAAAAAAAAAAAAAAAAAAAA